GTGTCTGAGCCGGAAATACCGATTTTTTCCCTTCTGTTTTTGCGTTATTTTCGATTTTGTGTAGGACATTGTCGCTGGGGTATTGGGGAGGTGCAAGAAGGGGTCATTAAGGAGATCATTAGGGGGAGAACAATGTCATTTTGGTGGGTTTATGGATCATTTTGTCGGTTTTCAATGGATTAGAGTATTGATTAGAGATTTTTTAAAATCCCGGAAGAATTTTTGGGGTCGAAATGATCTAAAATTGTTGCAAAAATTATCTGATGATTATTTTTAAGAATTTTCAATCATCAAAAAAAAACAAAAAAATGACAAAATGACAAAAATGTGTTAAATAATTTTTTCATAAATAAATTAAAAATAACGAAACAATCAGAAGAATCGCCTGGCAATTGCTGTTGATCTAAAAATCATTATAAAAAATGAATAATCATTAAAAAAAATTTTCATGATTTAGTCATGAAAAAAAAAAAGATTCATAAATTGTTCTGAATATCCTAAAACGATTCTCTCGGCTACAAATGATCTCAAATAACTGTAAAATCATGAGAATTCATCAATGACTGTTGTCAATGATTTTGGGTTCATCCCAGCGGATGTGTAATTGTAAGAATTTCTTTTCCACGATTCTAAAAGTAGGAGAAATAAAACGAAATGCAATTGAAAAAAAATCTCGAAATGATCAATTGTTGGAAAAATTATTATAAAAAATGAATAATCATTCAAGAAAAAATTTCCATGATTTAGTCATGAAAAAATTAATAAATAAATGATTCATAAATTCTTCTCAATATACTAAAACGATTCTCTCGCCTACAAATGATCTCAAATAACTGCAAAATCATGAGAATTCATCGATGACTGTTGTTAATGATCTTGGGATCATCCCAGCGGATGCTTAATTGCAAGAATTTCTTTTCCACGATTCTAAAAGTAGGAGAAATAAAACTAAATGGGATTGAAAAAAAAATTTTCTATGGAATCAATTGATGTTGAGCGCTCGATAGAGGCCTTGGAGGGACCTGGAATGACCAGATAGAAAAGAGAGACGAGATCGGAGACATTGAGACTAGTTTGTAGGCCTTGTCCTCTTGGTTGAAAGCCCCAAGGTCACCGCTTGTAATGACGTGGGGGGAGAATTTATCGTACGTGGTGAGGATTTTAAGGGGTAATGTGCTAGTCTGCCAGCAGATGGAGACAGGTTACGGACACTGGGAGGCACGTGGGTGTCTTCAAGATCATTTTCAAGGAAATTATCGAGAACGTGCACTTCAATTGATCCAGATTTTTACGAAATCAATTAAATTTACTGAATTATCAAATCATCGATTTCGTTTTTTTTCGATTATCTTGAATTGCTGAAGAGCTAGAACCATGGAGATGATTACAAAAGAAGCTCAATACCCGAGTTTTGGATCGGAAATTTTTCTGGCTTTCTATTGAACTCAGAATTTTTTTTGTATATTTTGTTGGAACATTCGAAACGAGAGGAAATCGTTTGTTTTATTGATAATGGGGAACTGCAAGAGAACATTTTGGGACATTTTTCATGGAGAATTTCATTTTAAATTTGGAGTAATTTAAAAAATGATTCTTCCACTTCTTTTTAATAATTGAAAAAATTAAAGGAGAATTAACGGATGAGGACTGAATTAATATCGATTTTATTGCGTTCAATCATGGAATTTCTTTTTTTTTTCTGTATTATGATTAAGAAACTATCACAAAGAAGACAGGAAATCATTTGTTTTCTAGTACAGAGGGTTTGAAATTCTGTTGCAACTGCTGAGAAGCTATTTCACATGCAAAATTGAGATATGAAACTTTTCTAATCACATGGAGAATGCATTTGCGTCCCTAAACATTGTTTTTGGTAGTTGAGGGAAGTTGAAATGCTGGAAAAATTCTTCAATAGACATTTATGAACCTCAATGCCTTCGATGAAAAGTTTTAATCGAATTCTGAAATAATTAAGTAATTATCTCGATAATGAGGAAGTTTAAGAGTAAAATAGAACAATTTGGAACATTTTTGAGATAATTTCATTTTTTAATTTAAAGTAATTTAAGAAAAATGTTCTCCCATTTCTCTTCAGTGATTACCAAAAAGGGCAATGAATGAAAGAGGATTTAATCGATACAAATTTTTCTCGTTCTTCCCTCTGTTATAATTAAGAAACTATCACAAAGAAGACAGGAAATCATTTGTTTTCTAGTACAGAGGGTTTGAAATTCTGTTGCAACTGCTGAGAAGCTATTTCACATGCAAAATTGAGATATGAAACTTTTCTAATCACATAGAAAATGCATTTGCGTCCCTAAACATTGATTTTGATAGTTGAGGGAAGTTGAAATGCTGGAAAAATTCTTCAATAGACATTTATGAACCTCAATGCCTTCGATGAAAAGTTTTAATCGAATTCTGAAATAATTAAGTAATTATCTCGATAATGAGGAAGTTTAAGAGTAAAATAGAACAATTTGGAACATTTTTGAGATAATTTCATTTTTTAATTTAAAGTAATTTAAGAAAAATGTTCTCCCATTTCTCTTCAGTGATTACCAAAAAGGGCAATGAATGAAAGAGGATTTAATCGATACAAATTTTTCTCGTTCTTCCCTCTGTTATAATTAAGAAACTATCACAAAGAAGACAGGAAATCATTTATTTTCTAGTGCAGAGGGTTTGAAATTCTGTTGCAACTGCTGAGAAGCTATTTCACATGCAAAATTGAGATATGAAACTTTTCTAATCACATAGAAAATGCATTTGCGTCCCTAAACATTGATTTTGATAGTTGAGGGAAGTTGAAATGCTGGAAAAATTCTTCAATAGACATTTATGAACCTCAATGCCTTCGATGAAAAGTTTTAATCGAATTCTGAAATAATTAAGTAATTATCTCGATAATGAGGAAGTTTAAGAGTAAAATAGAACAATTTGGAACATTTTTGAGATAATTTCATTTTTTAATTTAAAGTAATTTAAGAAAAATGTTCTCCCATTTCTCTTCAGTGATTACCAAAAAGGGCAATGAATGAAAGAGGATTTAATCGATACAAATTTTTCTCGTTCTTCCCTCTGTTATAATTAAGAAACTATCACAAAGAAGACAGGAAATCATTTATTTTCTAGTGCAGAGGGTTTGAAATTCTGTTGCAACTGCTGAGAAGCTATTTCACATGCAAAATTGAGATATGAAACTTTTCTAATCACATGGAGAATGCATTTGCGTCCCTAAACATTGTTTTTGATAGTTGAGGGAAGTAGAACTGCTGGAAAAATTCCTCAATAGACATTTATGAACCTCAATGCCTTTGACGAAAAGTTTTAATCGAATTCTGAATTAATTCGGTAATTATCTCGATAATGACGAACTTTAAGGATGTCCAAGTACTTTGGCAATTTTTTTTACAGTGAAATGCTTTTCTACTTTTGCAGACGAACATCAGAGCTTTTATTTGAGCCCCATTCGACCTCAACTTTCTGGACATTTTACAATGATTTTATTATTTAAACTTCGCATGTCTGAACGGGCACTCTCGACAGTGAACCGTTAAAAAATATTTTAAAAATATGAAAAAGAAAATAGAAAGTTTACTTTTGGCGGAAGATTGATGAAATAATTTAAAAATTGCAATTTTTGAAAATTACGAGCACTTTCTATAAATACTTTATAAACAATCAATTTTCTCCCACAAAAATCATTTGTCCGAAATTGTAACAAATTTATTCATATTCAGAATTTTACCAGATGCCTAAAAAAACATTTCAGAAAGTTTAAAGAATTTTCATTATTTATTTATAAACAACGAGTGTTAAAAAAATAATGATTCTGTGCAAAATGTCATTATAATGACACTGAATATTCATGACATTTTTCAAATATTTCTCACGTAATTTAATCGACAAATTTGATGACCGAAAATTGTTGAATCTATAGTGTGGTCTATACCAACCTGTAAAAGAACATCTGGATATTCTCAAGCGAAAAATAGACCAATTTAGGAATTTTTTTAGAAAACTCAAGGCCCGGATGTACTATCTTTCGAACGTTATCTCGATGTTTTTTTTTCATCTTTCGTCATCGGAAATTGTCAATTGAGTTCTGCATCATGCAGAAGTTTTGAAAAATTATGAATGAATAATAAAAAAAAAGTAGAAGAAATTCTTAATTTTTTCAAAGAGCATTTTTTAATTTATATTCAGAATAAGTTGAATAACAAGAAATTGAAAAATGTATCTGATATACGGTGACAAATGGCGGCCTGTCACCCAATATCATGCAGGGGGAAGATTGATTTCGTAAATCTTTTCCCACACTGCACAGAGACATTTGTTACGGAAAAGGCTCTTTGAAAAAAGTTGCAATATTTTGGAGAATTTTTTAATCACACTTTTATCACATAAAAATGGCAGATAACTACATACCACTGTTTTGAAAATTGAGATACCTAGCTGTCACTTCCCATGAGGAGTTAGTGTTTTGTTATCCACCATGACAGCTAATAGATAATTTGCCACAGCCAATCAGATATTTGTAATTTCCACTTTTTTCAACTCATTCTGAATCTCAATTAAAAACGCTCTTTGGAAAAGTTCAGAATTTTTTCTATTTTTTTTATGATTCTGTCATAATTTTTGGGAATTTCTACATGATGTACCACTCAATTGACAATTTTGGATTACGAAAGATAAAAAAAATCCGGATAACATTCAAAAGATAGTACACTCTGGCCTTAATTTTAAATCTAACCTCTCTTCAAAAAACTCGACTTCTCAATAATCAAAGAAAACGAAGAATGAATGCATTTAACGACGAAATTTCTTTCTCTTCCCTCAATTATCATCGAGAAATAAGCAGAAGCTATTCGAGCCAATGAAATAATTACACAACAAAGCATTAATCTTGATTATGATGTCATTACCCTCGTCGTCAACAACAAAACACTTGTACTTGTATGATGGGATGGTGATTGATCATTAAACCCCTTACTTACCTTTCTTGATGAGTAAGCTAGTGACCCGCCGTAGTGCCTCACGTGTACCGGAAGCTGCTGTGCTGTGCTTACTTTGACCGAAGTATTTGTTGGGCGTGATGTTTGTCGGTAGTGTCAGTGGTTTTCTCTGTTCTCCAGTTGTTGGTAGACGAGACTCGTAGGCACTGTTAAGACGCTCCAAGTGCTCTATTGACGCTGGACGTGGTTGATTGCCAGCTCTGCGTGTTGGATACCAGCCACGATTTGGTCCACCTGCTAGGCGAAGTAGTTCGGTACCAATTATCGCTTGCTCCAGGCCCGGATTGTTCCTTCTGTACCTGGAGAAGGAGAAAAACTCAACTTTTCAGACTATTCTATTAAACAAAAGGGGTTTTTGCGACTAATTTTCGATGATAAAATAATGGGTTTGGGAGTTTTTCAATTGTCATTTTCAAGTAATTTTTTTGTTTTGGAGCAAAATAAATAAACGAAACGTCTTAAACAATTTTGTTAAACAAAATGTATGGTTTCTTGTTCAATTTCCGATGGTTTTTGAGAGTTTTTTTTTCAATTTTTGTTTTCAAGTCCTTTTTTTTCTATTTTGAAACGAAATAAATAAATGAAACATTTTAAACGATTCTATTAAACAAAACGTTTGTTTGTTTCTAATTTTAGCTGAAAGAACAATGATTTTTTCAATTTTTCACAATCATTTTGGACATTTCTTCGGGTTTCAATGACATTGGAGAATTTTCAAAAGTAACAATAAAAAATGAAAATAAAAATTCCAACTATGTGGGGAACAGTAGGGGGAGTGAGTGGGGTAGTTTATTAAAACCCTTGGGTAATCCCAGATCCAAAATACTGGTCATGAACCCATTTTTCCCCTGGGGTTTTTAAAACACCTTGAATCGTCAACTTTAAAAATAAAAAAATATTTTATCAATTTTCAAAAGAAATCTGGGGATAAAATGGGTTGATGACGAGTGTTTTGAATCGGAAATTTTCCCAGTTTTCCAAAGCGACTGACTCCCCCCCCCCCTTAATTGAGACAAAGTATGAGGAATTATAAAAAATAGAATAAAATAAAATATAAATAGAAACATCCATATTATCAATATTAGAAATAGAAATCTATAATAATATATATTTACATAAACAAAATATAAATAATAGAAATAGATTCGAAATAGACAGACAGAAAAAAAAACAAGTCTTCAAAAAAAAAAACGAGAAATGCAAACTTTAGTAAAATTGATTGTGAAAAAACTTCACTTCATGTGAATTAATTTAAAAATTCAAAGGTTCAAAAAAAATTCAAATTCTCCCCTGGCCGCACATTAATCCCCAGAACCCCATGAAAAAGCACCTCCAAAGGTCTTCCAGACGCTCCCTCCAGGATTGATCAAATTACCGTGTTTTCCAGCGGAAATTTCCTCACCAATTCAATTAGACAATTCCCCTTCCCCCCTCCCCCCGTAAGTCTGTAAACTCCAAAACAAACAGCCCCTTACCCTCCGGTGGTGGCAGTAGTGGGTGCATACCATCCAGGCTGTCTCCTGGGCTGTGTTGCAGCCGTTGAATTTGTTGAAGTTGTCGTTGACAAAGTATTCCCTGAAGTATGCTGTGGGGTCCTGGTGATGTCACTGCCCCGAGCGAAAACTGGAGTTTCAGGTAGTGAGCATGACGTTTGCATTCCGGAGTTGCTTGGTGGTGCAATAGAGCCCATCAGTGGTGTCCCCATGGGATTATCACCAGAGGGTGAGGCCCGGGTGGATGTTCTTCGTCGAGACGGGCCTGAAAGGGAAAGGGAGAAATGAGGATTTCGATTTTTTGGGGTTTTGGGGCATTTAAGGCCCGGGTGTATTATTTTTCGAACGTTATTTCGATGTTTTTTTCCATCTTTCGTCATCTGAAATTGTCAATTGAGTCCTGCATCATGCAGAAATTTTGAAGAATTATGAATGAATAATAAAAAAAAAGTAGAAGAAATTCTTAATTTTTTCAAGGAGCATTTTTAATTTATATTCAGAATAAGTTGAGTAACAAGAAATTGAAAAATGTATCTGATTTACGGGGACAAATGGCGACCTGTCACCCAATATCGTGCAGGGGAAAGGCTGATTTCGTAAATCTTTTCCCACACTGCACAGAGACATTTATTACGAAAAAGGCTCTTTGAAAAAAGTTGTAATATTTTGGAGAATTTTTTAATCACACTTTTATCACATAAAAATGACAGATGACTACATACCACTGTTTTGAAAATTGAGATACCTAGCCTTCACTTCCCATGAGGAGTTAGTGTTTTGTTATCCACCATGGAAAATGACAGCTAATAGATAATTTGCCACAGCCAATCAGATATTTGTAATTTCCACTTTTTTCAACTCATTCTGAGTCTCAATTAAAAACGCTCTTTGAAAAAGTTCTGAATTTTTTCTATTTTTTTTATCATTCTATCATATTTTTGGGAATTTCTACATGATGTACAATTCAATTGACAATTTTGGATTACGAAAGATAAAAAAAATCCAGATAATATTCAAAAGAACTTTGTTCGAAGAAAACCTTAGTAAACGCAATATTAAGAAAGTTGAATTATTCTATTTTCCTCTGACCTAAATGATTTGGACAATTATGATTCGTTCATTCGTGTTTCACAGAATGGTATTCAATTCTCTTTTGTTTGTTTTATGATTCATGATTGAATTAATTTGAAGAATTTCAATCGAATTTTCTAGCGACATTGCTACATTTTTTTCCCCAAGAAATAGTTTTCGTGTATTTTCCTGTAGCATACCTGGAAGATCAGTGGGAAGTGTCCGTCTCTCCACCGGAACATCTCGTCTGGAGTTGGATGGGACGGTCGGTGTCCTCCTGCCCCTGGTGTAGCCAGCATCCATGGATCTAGTCGTGTCCAAGGATGTTCTGTGATCCTTCAACTCTAGTGCTGCCCGATGAGGGGGGACCCGGGGTCTGTACTCGATCGTCCGAGTTGGACGCGTTCTGTGGGAGCCATAATGGCTTGTGACAGTCACTGGAGGGATTGCAATGTCCGAAGACTCCTCGTCAGCCTCTTCCACTGGAGAGGGCGGGAGTGGAGGGAATTCCAGGACTTCCACACTGACCTGGAGCAGGGAATGAGTAATGATATAAGAACAATATCATTATGTCTCAGGTCTTTCCTTCATTATCAAAAAGGCCTGGCAATAAACGCAAATCAGTAAAATCAGCAAAGGGGAAAAACAGTTTATTAAGTCAATTCAGCTCGTAACTGAGGTCTCAAGGAATATCTTCGAATCTAAGGGAGATAACGAAATATTCGCCATAACCTTTTTTGTGGAGTGAATTGGGGGCTATAAAAAAGGTCATGACAAAAATTTTGCTATCTCCCTTTGATTTCAAGTTATTCATCGCAAACCGGGAAATAATCAAAATGGACTTGAATCGTTTTATCGGTTAGCTACTGAAAACTCGGAGAGTTTTAACCAAACATCGATATAAGCATAAATTTTAAATAAATTTACGGCCCGGGTGTAATATCTTTCGAATGTTATCTGGATTTTTTTATCTTTCGTAATCCAAAATTGTCAATTGAGTGGTACATCATGTAGAAATTCCCAAAAATTATGATAGAATGATAAAAAAATAGAAAAAATTCTGAACTTTTTCAAAGAGCGTTTTTAATTGAGATTCGGAATGAGTTGAAAAAAGTGGAAATTACAAATATCTGATTCGCTGTGGCAAATTATCTATTAACTGTCATTTTCCATGGTGGATAACAAAACACTAACTCCTCATGGGAAATGACAGCTATGTATCTCAATTTTCAAAACAGTGGTATGTAGTCATCTGCCATTTTTATGTGATAAAAGTGTGATTAAAAAATTCTCAAAAATATTACAACTTTTTTCAAAGAGCCTTTTTCGTAATAAATGTCTCTGTGCAGTGTGGGAAAAGATTTACGAAATCAGTGTTCCCCCTGCATGATATTGGGTGACAGGCTGCCATTTGTCCCCGTAAATCAGATACATTTTTCAATTTCTTGTTATTCAACTTATTGTGAATATAAACTAAAAATGCTCTTTGAAAAAATTAAGAATTTCTTCTACTTTTTTTTTGATTATTCATTCATAATTTTTCAAAACTTCTGCATGATGCAGGACTTAATTGACAATTTCAGATGACGAAAGATGAAAAAAAATAGCGAGATAACATTCGAAAGATAGTACACCCGGGCCTTAAATTAATAAACAATTCAATATCCGAATTCCAAATTATTCTATCAATCAATAATTGATTTCGGAGTATTGGTGATTGTTTGGCTAATTGAAAATACCTTTCATGAAATTTACAAATATTCGCTCAATAGTCAATTGACAATGCCAATATTTCCAATCAGTCAATTCATAGTCAACCGAAAATTTAAATTATCAATGATTTCATAATTTTCAAATTTCAACGAAAACATTACTGCAACTAATGATTGACGCGAATGCACGGTCTCAACTTAAGACTTCTAGAAGTCTCAATTTGCTATAATAAGTCTCAAAATAAACCTTGTTTTTTTAAAATGTATAATGCATTGATAAACCGAAAAAAACCCTTTGTATCCCCCAAATTATTACACTATATTAATCCGATAAAACTTTTCATCTCCGATTTTTATTCTTTGCATTTTTTTAAATATATCCTATCAAAATGTGCGGATAGAAATTGAATTGACGGCTATTCTTTCATTATTTGAAAAAATATATAAATTTTAAAACTCTCCGGAGACATTCAAAAATCGAAATTTTTATTTTCTTGGGAATCGATCATCATCCCAACAAAAAGTATCATTACTCTCCTCATTATTTATCATAAATATCTCTTCATTTGAAAATGAGAAAAACTATTCCCACAATGTATATACTACAATGGGAATAGACTCCAATAAATTTAATTTAATCTAACCGCAAAGAAAAATTGGAAAGAAAACAATAAAATGAATTAGTATAATATAACATAATCTTTGCCAGTCAACCAAATAGCCACAAACCTGGAAGTCCGGATTTTTGGAGTCCTCCAAAATGGCATCAATGACATTTTCAATCTGCCTCTGATCATTCTTGCCGAGCGCGTCGACCTCCTTGAGCCTCCTCCCCGACCCGTAGACGATCTCCTCGAGCCTCTCCCTCCTCCCATCGAACTCATCCTCCGCACCCTCCCCCCCATCCTCCTCCTCATCCCTCCTCCCACTCCTCCTCTTGGCCTCCACAAAATTCTCGCTATTCTTCACACTCTCAATCTCCTTAATCGCATCGCTGACCTTCTCCAGCTGTCGCCTGTTCTCATTCAACGCCTTTTTGACAATCTGATCCTCAATCAGAACATTCACCGGAATTTTCGAGGGTTCGAAACGATTGTCCTTCTTGGAAATCGACGAAGCCCTCTTGTTCATCTTCCTGATGTCATCGGGCTCGTGTCTGCTACTCTGAATGTCCAAGCTCTTGGACATGGGTAGAGATCCCCTCGTTGCGACGCCATTGCACCTGGACTTGAGGTCCGGTGCTGGTGGTGGTGGTGACGAAGCTGATGACGACGACGACAGGTAGTCGTCCAGATTGTTGAGATTGTTCTGGTGCCTCCTGGAGTCCCCGGAGAGATCGTCCTCTGGGGACTTGTCGTCGTCGAAGGCCGGAAGAGAGAGCACCCTCACGAGGTCGGGGGGCACTGGTGGGACGAAGTCCGGTGGTGGCTCGTTCAGGCCCTCCAGTCGGCCCTCCCTCAGCAGACTCTTGATGTCGTCGAAGGTGTTGGAGTAACGCTTGAAGACGCTGTCTGGGGCGTCCTTTCTGGTTTTGGTGCCACCCGGGGAGATGTTCAGGGGCTTGCGCTCGCGCTTTCTTGTCCGTCCTCTTATCACGTAGGTACCATTCTTGGTGGGGTAGTCACGCTTTGGTAAGGGCCGGTCGAGTTCATTTGTCGAGGAGTCCGCGGAGTACGGGGAGATCAGGTCGTCGTCGGTTGTGGAACGACGGTGCGGCTCTTGCCAGTCGTAGTCTAGGTCTCGGAGTTTTGAGACCGAACCGACACCTGGAATGCGAGGGGTTTTTGAGGGCCTGCGCCAAGGGTGGACGGAGGATTTTTTCTCTCATTGAAAAATTCCTGGATACTGTCAGGACTCACGAGGGTCGTACCTTGCAAGGGTCATACCTTGCGAGGGTCAAACGTCATCATGATCATATCTTCCGAGGATCAAACGTCGCGAGGATCGTAACTCGCAAGGGTCAAACGACAGAGTACAGGCAGGACAATCTCAAGGGTCAACTGGGAGAGGCAAGGAGGACGCGGGTCAAACGGGAGAGCTTTCTCATATCTTTCGCTCGATATACGATTGTTTGACCCTTACGATTTTCCTGCCTGCTTCTTCTGATTAAGCCTCATGATCATTGGACCCTTGTGATTGTCCTGTTTGCCTCTTCTGGTTGACCCCTGCGATCGTTTGACCCTTGAGATTGGCCTGCCTGCCTCTGTTGTTTGACCCTTGCGAGGTATGACCCTCGCAACGTTTGACCCTTGCGAGGCAAAATGGGAGAACCGTCTATTTCGTTTCATTTATGATCGTTCGACGCTTCGACGTATGAATGGGAAAAAAACGGTAAATAATTGATCAAAAACCCCCCGACGTAACTATCAGTGCTCACGAGGGTCACACCTTGCGAGGGTCGAATGTCACAAGGGTCATACCTCGCGAGAGTCAAACGTCATCATGATCATATCTTCCGAGGATCAAACGTCGCGAGGATCATAACTCGCAAGGGTCAAACGACAGAGTACAGGCAGGACAATCTCAAGGGTCAACTGGGAGAGGCAAGGAGGACACGGGTCAAACGGGAGAGCTTTCTCATATCTTTCGCTCGATATACGATTGTTTGACCCTTACGATTTTCCTGCCTGCTTCTTCTGATTAAGCCTCATGATCATTGGACCCTTGTGATTGTCCTGTTTGCCTCTTCTGGTTGACCCCTGCGATCGTTTGACCCTTGAGATTGGCCTGCCTGCCTCTGTTGTTTGACCCTTGCGAGGTATGACCCTTGCAACGTTTGACCCTTGTGAGGCAAAATGGGAGAGCCGTCTAACTATTTCGTTTCATTTATGATCGTTCGACCCTTCGACGTGTGGATGGGAAAAAACGGTAAATAATTGATCAAAAACCCCCCGACGTAACTATCAGTGCTCACGAGGGTCACACCTTGCGAGGGTCGAATGTCACAAGGGTCATACCTCGCGAGAGTCAAACGTCATCATGATCATATCTTCCGAGGATCAAACGTCGCGAGGATCATAACTCGCAAGGGTTAAACGGCAGAGTACAGGCAGGACAATCTCAAGGGTCAACTGGGAGAGGCAAGGAGGACGCGGGTCAAACGGGAGAGCTTTCTCATATCTTTCGCTCGATATACGATTGTTTGACCCTTACGATTTTCCTGCCTGCTTCTTCTGATTAAGCCTCATGATCATTGGACCCTTGTGATTGTCCTGTTTGCCTCTTCTGGTTGACCCCTGCGATCGTTTGACCCTTGAGATTGGCCTGCCTGCCTCTGTTGTTTGACCCTTGCGAGGTATGACCCTTGCAACGTTTGACCCTTGTGAGGCAAAATGGGAGAGCCGTCTAACTATTTCGTTTCATTTATGATCGTTCGACCCTTCGACGTGTGGATGGGAAAAAACGGTAAATAATTGATCAAAAACCCCCCGACGTAACTATCAGTGCTCACGAGGGTCACACCTTGCGAGGGTCGAATGTCACAAGGGTCATACCTCGCGAGAGTCAAACGTCATCATGATCATATCTTCCGAGGATCAAACGTCGCGAGGATCATAACTCGCAAGGGTCAAACGACAGAGTACAGGCAGGACAATCTCAAGGGTCAACTGGGAGAGGCAAGGAGGACACGGGTCAAACGGTAGAGCTTTCTGATATATTTCGCTCGCTATACGATCGTTTGACCCTTGCGATTCTCCTGTCTGCTTCTCCTGATTGAGCCTCGTGATCATTGGACCCTTCTGATTGTCCTATTTGCCTCTCCTGGATGACCCCTGTTGTTATTTGACCCTTGCGAGGTATGACCCTTACAACGTTTGACCCTCGTGAAGCAAAATGGGAAAACCTTCTGCCTATGTCCCTACATTTACGATCGCTCTACCCTCACACGTGCGACATGCCTCATCCCCCGTTCAAAAAACTCTAAAACCACTCCGGTAAATTACTTTGTAATGTATGATCTCGAAAACTAGATAGATTACTAGAGGTATTCCACTCGCCCACCCCGGGTGGAAATTTTGGTCAGGTCTTGATCAGACACTGATCAAGTTATCATATCAGATTCTGATCAGGTATGAAACGCTATAATTTTTGATTTTCCACTAGGGCCCCCTGCCTCCAAGATATTTACTACATCGTTCCGATGTTCATGTTCCACAGAACTTTCGACAAATGACGTCGAGACTTGTATTTACTTTAAAAATAAGGGCAAAAAACATGAAATAATTCTCCAAAATACTTACTGGAAACGTCACTGCTCCTCCTCCGTCGTCTCCCTACGACCTTCGTGCTCCCCGGCGCATACAAAGGATCCTCATCCAGGGAGACCTCCCACGCGATCGAGTGCCTCTTGCAGACACTCGGCTGTGGTGGCATCGGTGGTGGTGGTGGTGGTGGCGGTGGCACTGTCCTCAGCATTTCCTCCAGCGAGTCGTCGCTGAACCTCTCCTCCTCCTCGCTCTGTGTCCTGAAGTCCGTTGAATTTCTCGTCGAGAAGTCTGAGTTCTTCGAGTAAACGTCCGAGAATCTTTCCGAGCACGAGTCTGCTCTTCCCAGTGAAAAAGCCGAAGCTGCAAAGTCCAGATTTCTGATTGAAAAGGGATCGGACGTCGGCGCCGACACGCGATCGTTGGAGCTGGCTGACGCAACGGCGAGCGAAAAGTCCGAGTGAAATCGCTCGTTCGACGTGGAATTCGCTCGAGAGAAATCGGATGAGTCGCAGTTCGCTCGCATCGAGAAACGCTCGACTGATACTGACGATGATCTGGGCATTGAGTAGCGCTCGGACTCGGATTCCGACGCACCACGACCCAATCCCTTTCGTTTTCTTCGGCGTCTTCTTGAGAATCTGCCGTCGCAACTCGAGTCTGAGTGATTCTGCTCGACTCGAGAGTCATCGTCACCCTCGTCCGCTCGCTCTTCCTCGTCTTCGTCGACTTCTTCGTCGTTCTCGTCCTCCTCGTCGTCGTAGTCGTCCTCTTTGGGGTTGCGGGAGGGATTCTGAGGGGAAAAGTCGGTGGGAATGTACGGGGGAAGCTCTTTAGAGGGAGCCCGAGGGTTTTGGTGGTCTTTGACGTCGTTCTGGTGATCACTGACGTCGTTTTGGTGATCGGTCTGGTGGTTCTGGGGGTTCGGGGGGTCCGAGTGGTTGGATGAGCGTCTTCTTCGACGCCGTTCGTGGGAGGACGCGGGGGGAGGGGCGTAGGTGGGGGTCGAGGCGAAGATCCAGTCGTAGGTGACGGGAACGTCGTGGGGAAGACTGGAGAATTTTGAGGTGGAGGTGCGACGAGGGTCGGAGGACGAGGAACGGTCCCATAGACTGTGCAACTTTCGGCGACGTGTTTTAGGCTGTAATTGATTTTTTTTGCGTCAGAATGGGGAGGTTTCATACGTTTTTTGATGGGGGATTGTTGGAATTGATTGTTTGGAATACAAGAAACTGAATACGTTGGGAATTTACCCAGTCTATCATTTCGGTTTTTTTATGAATGAGTGGATAATTACTTTTTTAAATAAATGAATACTTATTTCACTATTCTCATCTTCTATCCTTTCATGTTGTAGTACTATCGTCGATTGAAATGTCAAAAAAATTTTGCGTATTATTTCGTTCTGTCAAATAATTCTACATTCAGACCCTCTCAAGACTCGAATTCGTTTTCAGTCCGGGTTTAATCAAGGTTTAATCAGTGTGTAGCCAGGATTTAATCAGCGTTTACTCATGATTTAGCCAGGTTCTGTCAGAAGTTAGTCGGAACCATGAATCAATATGAATAAGTATTCAACGCAATAGACTGCTACCTGAGTTTAATAGAGATAGAGATTATGATATAAAAAGCTCATGACGGTATTGTGTAACTTGATAAGCAATGATGCTGTTCTCAGCATTTTTCAACTTGATTAAGAAGCCATTGAAATATCCTTTTCAAGCCCTGATTTAATTGATATTACTGATGATTCTTTCAGTAATGATGAAATAACCGATTTTCTCTTTCAAATTGCATAAAAAATGTGCTGTAACTCAAAAACCAATTGTGCGATCCCCATCATGTTCTGATAGAATCCAGAAGGTGTTGTTATAAATTTTTTGAGCCATGAATAATTCCATTTTGATGACAATTTTTTGAGTGATCGTTGAACAATCAATTTTTGGAAAAATAGCAATTTTTTCGAATCTGTATGAAAAATTGAATTTTAATTGGTGTCAATGAATAGAGTTTGTTAAAGTCTATATTCACGAAAAAATTCAAGAAATTCGATTGATCCCTTTTACGAAAATTTCGAAAAAAATGAAGAAAAAAGACCACATATATACATAAATACACCATACATAATGACACCATCTAAAAATCGCATATTCGGACTCTTGAGACCGTATTTAGTTACTCTATCACAAAGCTTCCATTCAGAACCAAAAATTAGAAACAAAAATCATAAAACGTCCAAATTGTTCTGATTTATCTAAAAAAATTGTCAATTATCTTAAAATATTCCCAACTATGCAATAAAACCCAAATGTCTGAAAAATGCCTGACATTAAAATTTTTACATCCCCTATTATAGGCCGAATAACAATAAATTCAACTTCCTTTACTGCAAAAAATAAAGAAAATGTTCCTTCTCTTGATTGAAGTTTATAATAAGGATTTAAAAATTCTTATGAAAAAACTTTTATTTCCGTCTTTCACCGCTGAACTTTTCATTCAACATTAATAAAAGAGTTCTCCCTAAAAGCGTAAAGAAGAGAATTAAGAAGAAAGGAAAAATTGAAGGAATGGGAGGGAAAAATTTGCCCGTAAAAGTTGCTTTTATCTCCAATTATACAAGAACAGTAGGAGAAGAGTGAGGGAATGAGTATTTCACTCCCAGCATTAATAAATTCCGTCTTGAATTCGGCATACTTACGAGAGTTGTTTGAATCGTCACGGTGTGCCCGCGATGATGACGACTGCGATTTGACTCTTCCGCCTGTTTTTCACATCTGCGTGAATTTTTACCACCGGTGCTGCGACGTTTCGAGGTATTGCCCGGTGAGACACTGAAAATCATCCAATGAGGGAGAATGTTTTGGGTCGTCAAGTGGAATTATTGCGGAGGTTGGGGATCGTAAAACAAGGGTTTCTGGTGGAGTAATGTATTTTTCCCGGGGACATTTCTTGGCTCGAGACAACTTGTCCGTTGGTAAACGCATCAAATCTACTGAGACATGCTCGGAATAATTTGGGGGAATATTGTGACGTCGAAAAACCAGCGATCAGTCGACAATCAGTGCATTTGTAATATTTTGTAATATTATTAGAATTTGCACCTTTCTATTACTATGATTTTATTATCTTGCTTGAAATTAAAAAATAAGAAAATAATTCATGATTCAAATTTTCTATCAACTATTCAGTACACTGAGAGAAAAACAAACACGTTGTTAAACAAGTCTTGTTTGGGCCAACAAACCCTATCTTTGAAGAAAAAAAATCAAATTTCATCGATGAAAAAAAAAACACAAAAATTGGAGCGATGGAAAAAATCAATTAAAATTGACACAAACGATTGTAAAATTATTTAATTACGGATGAGAATGCAACAACTACTTCTAGATCCGTATGAATGTAACAGAATGTCTACAATTCGTCACTCAAACTTGCCCAACTCGTATCTCACAAGAAAAACAATAACAGTCCAACATCCGTGGGGCGGGAGGCTCTCGGGAGTTTGTCAGCACAAGACGCGTGTGTTTGCCCTCGTTATGTAATACCCCCCGATGGGGTAAACGCTCGACAAATTGTGGATAATATACTTACATGGGTAGGAGTGTGGAGATAATGCGTTCAGCCTCTTCCGGCGGCGGTGGAAACTCATTACTCGTCGTGTTTGATGACTCCTGGGGCTCGGGACAATCCGGCACTGGACGAAGTGCTACCAGTGCCATTTTTGCTTTTCTACCGTTCATACTCATGTAACCGTCGTCTTCGGACTGATGTCCTGTACCAAAATAATCAATATTTCACGACTTCTTCATTGTCTCGGAGTTTACATTTCAAATTTTCCGCGCTGGGGAAATTTCCGGTTCAAAACACTGGTGCAATTTGTAATTAATTTAGGCGAGGCTCATTTGGATGAAAGAATAACGACATAAACGTTTCGATGAAAGACGAAATACTTCGGAGTTACCCTTGACAAAAAGTTCTTATGTATCACACACATCAACATCGCGAATGAAAAAGCAAAAGCCATCATGGCTAGGCTCTACTACCTATTTAAAAACAAATCCCTGTCGACACAAGCTAAACTCAAATTGTATAAGGCATCAGTCAGGCCGGTAATAACCTATGGCTGCCCCGCCTGGCATAATGCAGCCCCCACCCATATCGCCAAATTCCAAGTTATTCTAAACAAATATCTCCGTGTCATTAATAATGCCTATCATGGCAGCCCTATCTCCTCCCTCCACATTAGATAAAACACAGAAATGATCCATTACTTCATAGATCGCATTGCAGACAATTTCGAAGTGAATCTTAAAAATCATTCAAATTCATTAATAAATAACATCAAGCCTCGTTAAATTTCAAGATGGTCAACTGGCCGTAGTTGTTGTATCACCAAAATACTCAAGATATAGAATTTTTCAATGTTCGATTTTTCCTACTATTAGCATCCATTCTGTTTTGTAATTCTCTCCTGTTATTAAACTGCCAAATTATGTTGAATAAATGCCTTTGAATGACTTTTATTTTCATGATTCACCAAATTCATCATGGTCTTCACCTCCAAATGTCTATACAAGCTACAAGTATCAAAGAATAATGATGTAAACATTTCGAAGAAAGACGAAATACCTCGGAGTTACCCTTGACAAAAAGCTCTTATGTATCACACACATCAACATCGCGAATGAAAAAGCAAAAGCCATCATGGCTAGGCTCTACTACCTATTTAAAAACAAATCCCTGTTGACACAAGCTAAACTCAAATTGTATAAGGCATCAGTCAGGCCGGTAATAACCTATGGCTGCCCCGCCTGGCATAATGCAGCCCCCACCCATATCGCCAAATTCCAAGTTATTCTAAACAAATATCTCCGTGTCATTAATAATGCCTACTATGGCAGCCCTATCTCCTCCCTCCACATTAGATCCAACACAGAAATGATCCATTACTTCATAAATCGCATTGCAGACTATTTCGAAATGAATCTTAAATATCATTCAAATTCATTAATAAATAACATCAAGCCTCGCAAAGCTTTCCTACCATTCGCTCACACTCTATTTCGTATCTCACCCCCCTGTTGCCTGAGCAAAATGCAAGCTCAAGGGCTAAACTGTGTCAAATAACCGCCCTTAAAAATTTCTCCGAAGCCAGTGTTTTGAACCGGAAACTCCCCACCCACTCAACCCCCGGCGAAATCTCGAGAATTCTCGTATCCCCAGCTCTTTGTTCTCCCCAGCCTCAAAAATAACTCAAAAAGAATCTCCTTACGTCACCCAGTGAAAGAGGAAAAGCAATAGTATTATTTATTTTTCCAAGTTTCACGTATACGTTCTCTCAGAATAGAAACGCACCAAATGTAAACACAAGAGAAGAGGCCAAGAAATGAAAACAAAACAAGTAGTCAGAAAAAAATGTGTGCAAACCTAGAGAAGGGCTCTCGTCGTCTGGTGTGAGGCCGATGCTTGGCTCAGTACTGCTGCCACGACGTGCCTCCCCATCGGCGTCGGCGTCGCCCTCATCAACGGCTTCACCGACGCCCGAGGCGCTGCTACCTTCCTCACCCCCAGTCTCAATCTCACTGACTCCGCTATTCTCTGTACCGTGCTCGTCGTACTCGGAGAGCACCTTGTCCAGCAGTTCGATCGATCGTTGAACATCGTCACCTCTGGAACATAATTTATAAAACAAAACCCAAACAATTTTCTATAGTTTTAACCGATTTTTGTGACGACAGTGATTACATAGCATGATATGAGACATTTAAAGCAAGTGCTAGCAATCGATTGATTAGTGAATTTTATGAATTGTTTCTGACTGTTGGCAGCTGAAATGATTTAGGGAGTGATGATTTTTTCATTCATTATTTACAAATGCAATCCATAATTCGGGAAAACTTTTGGTTCGCTTTTAGGTGAGGGTCAAGTGGCCGTAAGGGTCAGATGACCCTTAAAGACGCGTAGGTTGAAGGATCAAATGGCCCTTGTTGATCAGGCTGCTCTAATTCGTTTAACCCTCAAGACCATTTGACCCGTAACCTTGAATAATCTAAAGGGTTGTTTGACCCTCAAGCACGTTTGACTTTCAACCTCAAACGTACGTAAGGGTCATTTGGCCCTCAAAACATTTTGATCTTGAAACATTGGGATGAAATGAAACACTGGAAAGAACGACGTAGTGTAATTCAGGTAGCTTGTTTTGCAAATGACCCTTAATGACCTTCGGCACTGAGGGCCAAATGATCGTAAGGATGAAATGAGCCTTAAAGAGGCTTAGGGTGAAGGATCAAATGGCCCTTGTTGATCAGGCTGCTCTAATTCGTTTCACCCTCAAGACCATTTGATCCGTAACCTTGAACAATCTAAAGGGTTGTTTGACCCTCAAACACGTTTGACTCAAACGTCCGTAAGGGTTATTTGGCCCTCAAACCATTTTGATCTTAAAACATTGGGATGAAATGAAACACTTGAAAGAACGACTTAGTATAATTCCGGAGACTTGTTTGCTGTTGGATGAGCGTCAAATGGTCTTGAGGGTCAAACACCCTTGATGGGGCTTGGGACTGAGAGCCAAATGAGCGCAAGGATCAAACGACCCTTAAAGACGCTTGGAGTTGAGGCTCAATTGTTCTAAGAGGCAAACGAACCTTGAAGACATGTGGGGTCAAAGGTCAAATGACACTTGTCGATCACTCTGCTCTAATCCGTTTGACCCTTCAGACCATTTGACCTACAACTCCGAACGCCCTTAACGGCCCTTTGAGGCTTAAATGTACCTCAAGGACGTAGAGAGTTGAGGGTCAATCAGCCCTTGATGACCTGTAGGATTAAGAATCAAATGACCCTTTATGATTCCTCTGCTCTAATACATTTGACCCTTAAGATGATTTCGCCCTTAATTCTGAACGTTCATAAGGGTTGTTCAACTTTTGAAACAATTTGTTGAAAGGACAGAAAAACAAATTGTTTTTAGCTTTCATTAAAAAGAGATGTTATAACGAGTTTCCTTGAAAAACATGTTTTTGGTTTGATGGATTTGATGACGATCAGAAGTAATTAATAACAAATCACTCAATCTATTTATTCATAATTGAGTTTTAATCATTTTGTTATAAACAATTGATGATTCAACAAATTTCAAAATAATTTTCCTTTAAATCGCCTTTTTTGGCGATAATTTGATTAATTTGCAACATACGCAGACATTTTGTCATCCAATAATTGAAGAGAATTGCTAATTGGGGTACGTCTCCGGAATCTGATCAAACTGTATCAGGAAATGAAGATAATCTTGATGGTGGCGCGAATGGGGGCGAAGTACAAAGGGTATGTAGGTGAAGATGTGATTGTAATTGATGACAAAACATTGAATCGAATCAATTACGCTGATATAATTTTCGTGGTTTAATTATTAAAAAGTCATAAGCATTGATTTCACGGATCAGGTATGTATAAAATATGTGTTGAAGTCTCATCAGTCGTGGAAAATTCTGTAATTGATGTAATAATGGTCGGATATTACACTAGTACCACGGAATGAAGACAATCCTTGTGTTAAATTGAATGGGATGAAATACTTGGGTATTATTGGTGAAGTTATAATGAGAAGTTGAAGGTAATTGCCTTATCCCTTGAATGATGGACGTCTTATTATGCTAAGAGAATCCTTCCAAGAGAATCAAACCTCGAAAACTTTAAGATTTCGTTGAGTGGACGTTAAAAAAATGCGGAAATCGCATCAATTCTTTCATTATCATGTTCCAACAATCACAGCAACTAGGAAAACGATTAAGATAGAAACGGATGGCATCGCAAAACCAGTTTAACTTCAACAACTTCAAAAGCTCAATATTGGATGTTTTAAATGAATCTCAAAGGTTCATAATTCGATCATTCGCATCTGCGATAAATCGAGAAGTAGAAGGGTTGAATAATATTGAATATTTAATCAACTAAAGCAGGTCATGATAATGGATTTTCGATTTACAGTTTTACGAAGTCTGAAGTAACTACTTTCTTTTAGAAGAATCTCATTCATGAATTCATGATGATATTTTTATCGCCAAGAAATCGATAGGAAGTGCTGCAGAGCGACCTTGGAAATATCTGTATAGTATCTCGACGTGACAAGAAATAATTCAGCTTAAAAAAAGTCATGACATAGTATCACTACTGCAATCAAGAAGTATTTGAATTTAACAACTTTAAATTCAAATTTCAACTTTTCATGGGGTTGACTTTAAAAAATGCGGAAATGGCATCAGTTCTTTCATTATCATGTTCCAACAATCACCGCAACTGGGAAAACGATTAAGATAGCAACGGATGGCGTCACAAAACCAGTTTAACTTCAACAACTTCAAAAGCTCAATATTGGATATTTCAAATGAATCTCAAAGGTTATTAATTAGATCATTCGCATCTGCGATAAGTCGAGAAGAAGAAGTGTTGAATAATATTGACCATTTAATCAACTAAAGCAGGTCATCATAATGGATTTTCAATTTACAGCTTTACGAAGTCTGAAGTAACTACTTTTTTTTTCGAAGAATCTTATTCATGAACTCATGATGTCATATTTTTATCGCTAAGAAATCGATAGGAAGTGCTGCAGAGTGACCTTGGAAATATCTGTATAGCGTCTAGACATGACAAGAAATGATTCAGCTTCAAAAACTTGAAAAACGAGACATTTTTTCAGCTGAAAACTATGACAAACTTCACAATTTGATGCTGTCAGCTGTTGAAGAATCGATTCCAGTCAAAATAGACTAATAATAGGCTTCGAAGCAGTTGTCACTCAGCACCACAAATATAATCAAGACATATTGAACCCTTAATCAATTGAAACATGACATCACCCTCGACTTTTCACTTCTAATAATTTAAAAATATAAAAATTCCAGTATGGGTTGTCTCATTAACCGTTTGTCCCTGAAGAATTCCATTTATAAATCCATGATGTCACATTTAAAAACCTCTGGATACTATCCAGCAACGTTAAGAAACAATTCAGTTCCGAAAAAAATCGGCATTCAAAGAACTTTTCACCTAAAATCTCCCACAACTTCACCTCGAAAATCCACTTTAACTCATCTAAAAATAAGCTTCAAAGGAGCACAACATGCCATGACAATTAATTTTCCTACAAAAATATCAAAACGATGAAAAATACATCAACTTCGTACTCCCAGAAGTCCAAAACATTCAATGCAATGAAGATTCAGAAAAAAAATCAGGTCACAATGCTTCATCAGTCGTCTAATGTCATTAGAACTTATCATCCACTTGATAATGCTCACCAACAATGGCCCCTCAATTAAAATCAAATCAAACCATACCGCAATCAGCCCCATAAACCCAAGAAGAATGATTCGCCACACCTTTCACCCCGTTATCACCCTCAATTCCCATTAACAAGATCCAATCAATCATACCATACGATACCGATCATCAACAGCAATTACCACTTGGTAAATACGCACGTGGGCGAGCATCACCGCAACATCTAAAGTGTATTAAACCATGACGAAGGTCATAAATGATGCATTTTACGACCTTTTGCTTATTACGGGGTCACGTAAGACGAGTAGACATCTACTTTGCGCTTTTAAACCTCATCCTCTCTATTTTTCTAACTCAATATCGGCTTTTTTTCTCTCCCTCCCGCCTATCCAATCAGGACTCGTTGGAATATAGGTGAGGAAGACGAAGGTGAAATAAAAAAAAAATGAAAGAGGAAAATGGGATAATCCACGTCGTGCACGATATTTGCGAGAAGGCTTGAGGGGAAAAAATGGGAAAAATATATAGAGGAAATAGGGAAAAGGATAATGGAGGATGAGAGGGCAACCTGATGGGCTAATCGAATTGGACGCGCGCATTTCGGCCTCTGGGGATGTGGCTCGTCCGATCACAACTTTCTGGGTCACTTCATTAACGCTGTAGCTATGCCTGGTCTAATGATCTCGGTGGAGGGGAGAGCTTCTCCTGGTTAGTTGGGTCAATCGGGTCGGCAAACTTCGTTAATTCCGTGTTGAAATCATTTTTTTTTTCAGGTGGAGATGATGAGGATTACTGGATTTTAGATGTTCTGGAGGATTTAGGGATTTGTGGCAGAGGTACTTGTGCTTTTCGAGAACGACCATATGAATTTTCGAGTTGGTGAAACTTCAAACTTCGCTTCTTTATAAGCTTGCGATGTGAAGATGATTGTGGTTCAGGATTCCTCCAACAACTGAAGCTTCAACAATTGAGCGGAACTAATCTCATTTCATGGATTAATATTGATTGAGCACATCTTGTTTTTCAAGAGCCAGAAAATTATGCTTTGGTTCTTCCTAAGCGTGCGATGTGAAGCTGTTTCTAGTTCATTCATCCAAACCCATCAACTTCCTCAATCTCCTATCACCATTCTCTTCCGTAAACACAATGCAAATGGCCCTCCAAAAATCGGTCAAAACTAAACTCATTGAATAGTCCAAGTAATCGCCTCCAAAAATTCATTTTGACCCAGTCCTCGAGCATTTGAAAATCAAATTATGCTCTTTTATGGAGTCTGTCAACTATCGACTGAATAAATCAAGCGCCCTATCATCGCCCCTTCCCAACGAATCCCCCTCAAATCATCAACTCTCAAAGACATCAAAGCTTTTCCGGAAAAACTGTC